GAGGTCCCTTCCAGTCCTAGAATCTATGAATCTATGTAAGGGTCAGGGATTGGCCCCTACAACAGTTTTTTGACAAATAGATCCATCTAAAGCATGTTGAGCTCCAAAGAAATCTGACTCCACCCTCCCAGCTAACTGACCTATTTGGCTAGGTGACTCTGGATTTCTATTGCTCCTGCCACTTGCCAATTCTAAAAGGTGACTTTCAAGGAGCATCACTGACAGACACCAGCAGTGATGTGATAGTTTTTTTTTTCTCCATCTTCTTTGGTTTTCCTGTTTTCCAGCCTCCTTTTCCTTCCTTCTCCTATTTTTTTTCCTTTTCCTGTTTTCCAGCCCCACTCTGATGCTCCTTCTTTTCCTCCCGTCTTGTCCTGCTTTATGCTTTGACCTGGTGAAACTCAGGGCCAACTGCAGCGAAGGAAGATGCTGCCTCTGGACTCCAGGCAATGCTGCTTCTCTCTGATGCACAAGAGGTGCTAACCTATTTCCACAGGGTAGATTCGTGCAATAGCAGAACAGGCAGGCAGACCACGGAGCAGTGCCTTTTATGGAGTAGGTCCTGTTTTCCCTCTGTTTATGTGCCAGTGCTTATAGATAACAGCTTAAAATAAGGCAAGTGAATGTGAATGCTTAACTCAGCGTCTCCTAAATTATACTTTGTTCCATTTACACTGTTCACTGTCACTGAATCTCGTATGTGCATTTCAGTCTGAAAAGACCGTTAACTGTCTCTTCTGATTACACAATAGCTGCATTGCAAGCCCTGAAGAGAAAAAAGAGGTATGAGAAACAGTTGAGCCAAATTGATGGGACGCTCTCCACCATTGAGTTCCAGCGGGAAGCGTTGGAAAATTCCCACACCAACACAGAAGTGTTCAAGAATATGGGCTATGCTGCACAAGCAATGAAAAAAGTGCATGAAAATATGTAAGTGCATCCTGTCCACTTCCACAGTAGGGGGTTCAGTGCTGTAAAATTCGCCCTCTGACTGTATGGATTAAATGTTTTAGTTTCACTGAGACACCTGGTTCTGATTTTGTTTTTGTTAATGTTTAATGTTCGGGGAACGCTCCCGATAGTGGAATGTTATATTTGGAAGACAAATAGCTTGTCTCAACAGCAAATCTGAAAGGTTGCCCTACTGTCCTACGAAGTGCACAGGGATGTTATTATTAGGTTTAAATTGCCTTTGGGAGGTGCTGAGGGCAGAGAGAGCAACAGAAGAATAGCACTTAGGAGAGAAGAGTCCATATTGCTCCTCTAAGTCTCTAAATGGCTGTGTAATTCAGATTTTTAAAGGTGTTCTAATTCGACCCCAGTTTAGCAAAACTATTCATGTGCTTAAAGCCTGTTGAAGTAAAATCAGTTCTATTCAATATGGGGTCTTATACTCCACCCCCCCACCACTGTAGTGCATTAAGGGACGGGACTAACATCTGCCATGTTTGACTTGTCAACTTCTCACATGCTTAAAGATCGGCATGTGCTTAGTACCTTGCTGAATTGGCACCTTAAATTGGAGACTTTTTGTATTCAGAGTTTTTATTAATAAAGGGACCAGAACCTTTTCAGACCAGGTTTTCCCAAGGCAGACGTGGTCTAAGAATGTGTATTTTAAAAACAGTTTAAATATTATTTCTCTAGGGACCTAGACAAAATTGATTCTTTGATGGACGATATCACTGAACAGCAAGCAGTTGCCCAGGAGATCTCAGAAGCTATTTCAAACAGAGTTGGGTTTGGTGATGAGTTTGATGAGGTTAGTATTGCAATGAAGTCAAGGATAAAAGATGTACCCGCCTAATACAGTGATTATTTTATTGTGTGGTGGTTTGTTTTAAGCCTTTTTTCCCCATGCAAATTGTGACTAAAATTGCTTGGATACATTTAATCATTTATAAAATGTATTTAGATTTTTTAAAAGAAGTTTTGATCTCACAAACTCGCTCTCCATGTTCTTACCCTGTATGTGTGGACATAACTGAAATGTGTGATTTGCAGTGCTCCCAATATACACCCAGTCAAGTGTGGGTCTATCTGGAGCACTGAACGTCAGTATTTGTATGACACATTGCACTGTTTGCAACTCTAAACACTCAAGGCAAGACTTTGAAAGGTATTTAGTTGCCTAAAGATGCAGATATGCTCCTCATAGGATTTTCAAAAGTGCCTGAGCGGGTTACGTGCCAAACTTTCTAATTGACTCCAATGGGAGTTAGGCGCATAACTGTTCAGGTGCTTTTGAAAATCCCAATAGGCATCTGTTTGCATCTTTAGGCATCCAATCTTTTGAAAATCTAGGCCTTAGGGCTTTATCCAATGCCCGTTGAAGTCAGTAGGATTCCTGTTGACTTTGGGCACTTAATCATGCCCTTAATTATTTTTAAACCAAATTTTTTTTCAAATGTAAAAAATACTAATTCTCACTGCGGGCCTAAGGGAGGGTTACCATTCGTCCGGATTTACCCGGACATGTCCTCCTTTTCGTGCTAAAAATAGTGTCCGGGGGGAATTTGT